CTCTGCCACTACCCAACCAGACAGCTGAACGGGCACTATTACCTACCCTTGCTCCACAGTCCTACCAGCTTCAGCAATGTCAGTTATGGTGCTATCGCAGCAAGCTAAGATAAGAATTCCTCCTTTAGAGGCAAACAGCTTTCTCAGCGACTCGGAGTAAGTGGAACTGAATCTCAGAGCCCTATTTCACATGGAGCCCTAATGAATCTCCAGTGTTTCTTCACTCTAAGCTGCTCTGCTTGCTTCTTCACAGCTCTGCCTCTAAAAAATAAAGTAAATGCACTCAACAGAGAGAGCCCCAGAGCTACAGGTCCCAGTAAGGTGGTGCACAGTAGAGGATCACGCCAAAAAGACACCAAAATTCTGTCAAGACTGTTCCCCACTTCTTCCTGATGGGGTGACGAAGCTTATTTCTAACCCCTGCCCTGGCTGCCTCCAGCAGCAAACCATTCCTCACGCCAGCTGTCACAGAGGCAAGGACAGGGATCTGCAGGCTTTAAGCACATGGAGAACAGCTCAGAAGGGAGAAGCCCATTTGCAGCCATCGCAGCCTCCCAGGGCCAGGCCTGGGCACAGGAGGGCCCCATCTCTCCCTACCCTTACGCAGGGAGTCAGAGGGGTGGCACAAACAGCTCTCCAAAATCCACTTTCCAATTGCTGCCCAGGCAACTGGGAAAAGCCGCTGAAGATGCACCCAGTAACCTGAGGTAGATCACTTACTTTTTCTTGTCTTTGTCCTTCTTCAGCGGCTGCTGTGAGGTAGCCTGCAAGGATTGGGACTGCAAGGTTTCCACCGCGACCTTCCGCCTATTAAAGGCATTCATCTCTTCCTCCAGCTCCTTCCTCTTCTCCTCCACCTTCCTCTTCTCCTCTTGGTGTATCCTCTTCAAGTGCTCGAATTTCTCATGCAGCTGGTAGGAAACAGGCTCGCTGTTACGGCATCCGCTACACTCCGGGGTAGAGCCACACGTCCCACACGTGTCCCCACCACGTTACAGATCCAGCCTTCCTGACAGGGTGCCAGGCACCCAAGGCCTCTGCAATGTGCAACGGCTGCAGCCACTTCTCCAAAGTGGCAAAGACTCAAACTCAGCTCTGCTCGTCAGCATGCACAGAAGCAGGAGGAAGAGCGAGCCCTGCACGGGGACAGAGGAGCTCAGCTCGCTCCTCAGTTCTGCCGCAGGGCTGGGGACACAGCGGCCTCATCCCTTCCTCACTGGAGTGAGGAGGGTCAGCCCATTTCCAGTTGTGAGAAATGTCTGTCCCTCTTTGCAGGAGGAATCCGGCCCGGCAGCCCCCTTCCCTCTGCCACGGCCGCTGCGCGAGGAGGCGTCGCGCTCTGCCCGGGCAGCGGCCTGGCCGTGCCCACGCTGCTCCTTCCAAGCCATCACCCTGGGTCCCCTCCTCTGAGCCAGGGGAGACGAGTGCTTGTGCTCTGCTAACAAGATCTGCTCAACATCTGCACCTGCTTTAGAGGATTCAGCCGCTGCCCAGACCCAGACCCTATGGCTGACTGCATATTTTGAGCTCTTCTCACAGGTTTTTGGCACACCCACCTCTCTCTCCTTCTCTTTCAGCTCTGCCTCTGTCTCCTTGACTTTGTTAACAAACATTTGCCTCATTTCTTCCTCTTTCCGCTGGAGCTCGCCCAAGAATTCCTTCCTTTTGGTCTCGTACGTTTCTTGGAGGCTGGGTAGGAAAGCAAACACAATCCAGAACCATCGGACATCAGTGACGCAGGAATGGGGAACCACATACCTGTGTTGCTCAAAGACAGACAAGGAGGCAACACCACCACAGCCAAACACCAAGTTCAAAGGCAGTGCTGGCCCACGGCACCGCAGCACAACCCGCAGACCTCCCGCTTCCTCCTGGTGCCAGTGCCCAGCGCGGGCACCTCACCTGAAGGGCTGGCTGTCCGGGTCCGTGTCCTTGAAGCCCATCTCCTCCAGCTTGCACCGTCGGTACAGCTCGTAGTGGCGGGTGTGAGTCTGCTCCCGAAGATCCTCCATGTTCACTCGGATCAGCATCTCCCTCAGCTTCACAAAGTCACAGTGACTTTCGTTCTCCACTGACGGAATCAAAGGGAAAAGTCAGCGAGCTGCACGCGCAGAGCCACTCCGCACTCCCCTCCCGAGGGCCTGAGCGCCAGGCAGGGGGCACGGAAGCCTTTGGGCTGCAGAGTGGCAGTTAACACAGGGACAGACGCCAGATCCGAGACACTGGCTGGTGGCAACAGGAGCGCAGCCTGGCCAGCCCACGGCAGGCCGCCCAGGATGCGGTGCTGAACAAGGGGCTGGGTTTCACGCCAGGCCCCGGCTGCATGTGGCACAGCCGGGAGGGACAGCCCTCCCACCGTGTCCCAACGCAAGAAAAACGCAGGAAAGGCATCCTGCTCCGGCAGGAACCCGGCACGGAGCAGGAGGGCTGATGGTCCCGGGCGGCGGCGGCGCTCGGAGCCTCACCTTGCACTACTCCCCACGGGTACTGCCGGGCTCTCACCAGCTTGTTGCCCACCTTCACCTCCTCCGTGCTGCCCACCACGGCGAAGGGCAGGTGAGCCTGGAACACAGCGACACGGCGCTCCGGTCAGGAGCGGGCAGAGCCAGGCGCATCCCGCGCTCCACGCTGGTCCCACGGCCGAGCCCTTGCGCGCGGGCGCCCACTGCGAGCGGCGACACAGTTTTCACAGTTCACGAATTCGGCTAATAAGAACCACCAGAGTGAAAATATACACCTAAGCGACCCCCAAATAATTGCCTGTTTTACTTTCAATAGCCAAAAAGACAACAAGAAGAAACATCTAAAAGGGTTGAAAGAGAAAACCCGAAGCACTTAATCAGAAACAGCTATGCGGGAAAATGTTCATTTTAATGAAAAATTCATTTTATATTAAATCAAACAAATAAAAAAAAAAAACCCCAAAAATTTAACATGAAATCATTTAGCCTGTTTCTGTTCTAATAGTTAAACTATGATTGGAGAGACAGGGACAAATTCTAAAAATTGACAGAGTTTTTCAGATGCTTAAACCAGGCCTGAATTTGGTCTGAACCAAGTCTATAAGTGTCTTTATGTACACTAGGTTCTCTCTGCTCAGTCTCCTTAAGTCAGAAAGCTAAAGTAAAGTGTAACTATACATTTCCCTTTCAAAGTTTCTCTTTTCTCAAACAAAAAGTAGCTTAAAAAGTAGAGTGTGTGAATTTTAGAAAAAAACTAAAATATTTGTTGTATTTAAGTTAAAAAAATAGAGTTGAGTGTCCCCGGAGACCCCAGAGAGATTAAATAAGAGTCACATTTTACTTAAATCTATGTGCAATAGCCTTAGGCATCTGCCAGATCAACAGCTCAACTTTCAGGCAGATTTAGCATCTCAACAGCACCGAGGAAACTTGCCTTTCAAAGGCATTTTTGTGCTGCAGTTGAGTTTGTCACAACTTGTTGGGGCAAAGCAAGGGGCAGCGCTACTCACGTTCATCACAGAGTTGATCTCGGCGACCGCCTCGTCGTCCGTGGGGAACTGGTAGATCTGTACCCCGTTGCTCACCAGCTCGCTCATGATCTTGATCTTAAACTTGTGCAGCTCGCTCTTGGAGATGGTGTCGGCTTTGGCGATGATGGGGATGATGTTCACCTGCAGGAGGAGGGAAGGAACACGCAGGTGAGCCCCACACTGGGAAGCGGCTCCACGGGGCGCTCCGACACGGGCTCCCAGCGCTCCGCGTTGCCCAGCTCCACGGAAATGCTCCAGTTTGCACGGGAGCTGCAGCAGCAGCCCAGCCAACACTAGAGGGAAGAGTCTTCCAGGATTGGATTTCGACTGCGAGACTTCCAGAGAAACTGCAGACAAAACACCCTGCAACAAACACACGCAGCGACTCCACCAAACTTGGCTCTTGCCTGGGCATGTTGTCACACACTTCAGCTGGGTAGAGACATTAGAGCTGTCACCTCTCAAGCTGTCACCTATCCAGGTCCATGGGCTGTGCAGCAAGGCCACTGCAGAAAACGGGTGTGAGGATGAAACACCACAGCAAGATGATGCAAACCTTCCCATGCTTCAAAAGAAAGAGCAGGGATGTCTCTCTCAATCACAGGCTGGCTGAGGTCAGAGGGGACCTCCAGAGATCCTCTAAACCCCCTGCTCTCAGACACCTGTTCAGGAGTTGGGGATGCTCTGAGGACCCCACCAGCACTGCAGCTCATACGCGCGCAGGTTGCACCGGCCTGCAGGGAGGTGCAGGTGCCACCGAGCTGGCACCAGATTCATTTTCCTGCTGTTGCTACTCGACTTTGGTTTTGCATCAGTGCTGAGGCACAAAAGCTGCTCCCCGAGGACTGTGTCCAAGTCCCAGGGCCCTCATGTGACTTGCTTTCCTCTCGGGAGATGCCATGTGGAAGGGGAGCAGGGCTCTGTTTTACGCCAACAAATCTGCAGCAGATCCAGTTTATCTTTCCTTATCCCCTCTCTTTTCCCCTGTTACACCCTATGGAAAAAACAATCCCTTAGGGTCACACATATTTCCCATTTACCAGCCAGCTGCCCTTTATTTACCTAGGACCCCGTTCGGAAGATGTTTCTGGCTCCCTGGATGCGATTAGGTGCCATTAGCTGCAGCCAGCAGCTGCCCATGAACTCAGCCAAACCCTGCGTTACAGCACGATGGAAGACTGTTAGAAACAGCTTTACCCAAAGGAATTTTGTAAAAATTCACACTTAAAGCAAGGTTTGTTAGTGAATTCATTACATGGATTACAAAGATTCAGCAGTTTCCTGACACCTGATACTATGTCCCTGGTGTGGCAAGCAAAGACAGAGCTGACCCAGGTTCCTACAACCTTCCCTACAACCTTAAGAAACACCTGGAAAGTACCTTGAAGCCCTGGGATGTCACCAGTGGAGAAAAGCAGCATAATCCCCCAACGCACACACGGAAGATCAATGGTCTCCACTTGCTCAGTCATTTATAGGTATCATTTATAGGTACACGCTTGCGCTAGGCCAACACACCAGGAAATCCAAGATGTTCTTAATGGTGAGAGAGAGATGGGAAACCAAAGGAGCTCCTTCAGAGAGGAGCATCAAGTGGCAGTTCAGAAATACAACAGAAGCTTGTGTGAGCATAAAGCTCCCCTCTCTGCACAAGTACAAAGGATTTGTTTTGGTATTATCCACGGACCACACTAAAGAAGGCCATGGGGAGATGTGAAGAGTAGGGAATGCAGAAGGAAAGGAGGAGGGAAGCTTTGTCAGACCCCCAGCGCCAAGGGGAATCATGTAAAAAGCTTTCCTCCAAACATGCTTCTGAGAACGTGTAATGCTGGTAACGTGGCTGCTGCCACGCCAAGAGCCAAGGCTTTTTTACAGGAAAGTTCTCGGATGCCTGAGGAAGTCGGTGCAAGAGTCACCCCGACTGTGAGCAGGCCCTGCACCGGGAAGCCCTTGTCTGTTCCGGAGAGGAGCCAAGCGAAAGGAGGCCGCCTGCGCCGGGGTGGCGAGGCCAGGACGCCAGGAAAGGCTGGCAGGGCTGACGCGGACAAGAGCCGGAGAAGGGAACAGTCCCTAAAGGGGGCTCAGGGGGGCTTCGGCTACTGCAAGGTCCCAGCTGCCTTGTCTGCCCCCCATAACCCGATAGGCACCCACCAGCCTGAAAGGAACCATCTTGCTGCTAAAACATTGCTCTTTAAGGCCAGAGATTCCCGCTGTGCAAGGCACGACAGAAGCTGCCAGCAGTGACCTTTGGAGCCTGTCCCCAGGCCCCTGGAAGCAACTGGGCAATCTGGAGTGTGCCAGAAACCTCCTTCCATGCTGTGCAAATGTCAGCGGTCAAATAACCCGCTGCCCCCCAGGCACCAGGGACTGACGCACAGAGCAACAGTCCCCGGCAAGAGCTCTCTCACTGACCCCTTTTTAGGCTTCCTACAACCTTGAGAGCAACTTGCAATATTTGCATTTACAGAAGATGTCCCGACCTCCTGATCGGAGCAGGCTGGTTCTGTAGCGACCAGCAGTGACAGCTCTGGGCATCAGCCTGCACGGCTACCGCTCAGCATCAGCCCTCGTCTCCTCCACACAGGTGACCTTGGGAAACCTACTGCTTCGGGGGCTCTCAGACAGGCCAGGACAGCAGAGATGGCTCTGCAGCTTCCACAATGAAACTGCAGGAACCAAGAGCCATCCCCACCTGCAAGTCCGCAAATAGGAGCTAACAAAGATGCAGCCTTCCACACGACAATATGAACAACAACATTAACAGAAGCATCACCACAAAGGGTGCTCTGGGTGTCCAGACCCTTACCTTGCTATCCAGCTTCTTCATCGTTACCAGGTCCAAGGACTTGAGCGAGTGTCCAGTCGGAGTGATGAAGTACAAGCAGACGTGAATCCTCGTGTCATGATAGTTGAAGAGAGAACGACGGATTTTCAGCTCTTCTTGTAAATAGTTTTCAAACTGCGTATCAATGTACTCAACTATCGGCCTGTAACTAAAAATACGCGTTAGAAACCCAAATACTGGAACTCGGGATAAACAGTTTAAAGGTTTAATGAATTCTCCTAGGCATACTATGATATAATTAAAAAAAACAAACAAACAAGAAACAGTTAGGACAGGCACAATTTAGCCTTCCAAAAGGAAAAGTGTGGCATTTACAAATAGACCTCATATTCCAAAGGTCACTAGAATTTCCTGGGACTGCAGTGAGAGGCCTGACGATGGTGGAGCTGAAGCACGGACTGACAGCTGGGCTTTGCCCAGCTCCCGGGGTGAGCCAGCTGGCTGCAGCAAGGCACAGGGACCAAGGAAAAACCTTGAGTCCTGGAAAGCCTTCACCTGCGGCCTGAACAAGATGTCTGCACAATTAAATGAGACAGCTCCACAGAAACCAATCACTGTTGGAACAGATGATGCCTGACCCTATGCTGAGGACAGCCGGTAACGGCCTGTGGCCCTGGAGATACCATTCGCTGCTCAAAAGACCTTCTGTGACCTCCCCATCTCATCACAACTCCACATCCAACTTCTAGGGCAGTCCCAGGTAGCAGAGCCGCCCCACGGGGCCCCACTCAAAGAACTGGGCTGCAGAGCTGCCCAAGGCCCCGAGGCAGCGCAGGGGAGCCGGGCGGACGGCCCGCGACCTGCCTTTCGTCTTTATTGATCTGGTCTCCGAATCCAACTGCGTCCACAATCGTTAGCTTGAGGTGGACGTTGCTCTCCTGCAGGTCGTAGGTGCGCGGTCGCAAGCGAACGGCGCTCTCGTAGTGACTGGCTTCCTCCGTCTCGAAGGTGGTGTTGAAGAGGGTGTTCATCAGCGTGGATTTCCCAATGCCCGTCTCACCTAGCAAGGAGTCAACAATTCGTGCCATAGCTACTTCAAAGAGCATTAATTACAGAGCAAAACTAAATTATATTGTGAAAGGTTATTACAAATCCCCTGCAGCCAGCCAGACATAATCATCAGAAAGATAATAGCATTCTTGCAGGCATCCCATGCTTAACGCAGGGCTAACACCAAGCACTCTGGTGCACGATCCTCCCGGGGAGGGAAGGCCACAGTAAAACACTGTTTTCCTCTCTGCTGCCCCTGACCTTGCTTGGCATCCTGCACCAGAGAAGCTGGGCACAACTTAGCAGAGTCTTTTGAGAATTCAGAGGAGATAATAAAGCTCAGCTGCCCCTATTGACTGGGATTATTTGGCTCCGTTGTCGGCTCTCCCAGAGCAATAGCTCCAGCTACTGCGGCAGATCCCAGGGAAGTGGCATGTGTTCAGAGTGCTTGGGAAGGAGCAGGCAATTCTGCCATTGAGATTTCTTCTCACCCTTTTCTGTGTGTGTTTTCACAGGTCTCTTTACCACTTTCTCTCTGTGCTTTACCTTGCCAAAGTCTGAGAACTTGTCTTTTTGGAAAGGGAAGCAGGAATCTGGGTAGCTCTTTCGCTGCGGCAGAGCAGCAGGCAGACAGCTCCGAACCTGCCAGGACCACTTGCTGTCAGACAAGCGGTGAAAACACCCCTTCCGTGACTGGGAAGAGGCTGGATGGAGGTCTCCCAATCCCCCTGGGCAGCTGGAAGCCCTAAAGCAGCTGGTCCCTCTCTCCAGCCCCATGCCTGCAGTCCCACACGTGTCACGCTGCATGAGGTAGCCCTGACACAGCGGCGTCACGGGCAGCCCGGGCTCCTGAGGCCACTCGTGTGCAGCCCAACAGGACAGGACGAGCTGCAAACTCTGCACCACGCACGAGCTGAGGGCATCCAAACAGCTT